TGAAAGAATGGATGCAGTAACAAACTTTGGAGCGAATTAACGTTACTAAAAAAGTATAGTCCCAGCATGACATGATTGTGTTAGATCCCATTCCCGTATGTCATTTACCAAACACAACACTCTTGGCTGTTCACTGGATGTTAAATGTTATAAATGATTATGTTAGGCATCACAATAGAGCTTGTCCTGACACTATTCTTTTTTTGATATATGTTTGGATAGTGCGATTTGAACTTTAAATTTTTTAAGACTTTAACAAGTCCTTGTTTACTGGACCAATGCTCATTAACCAAACGATAATTTTATTTTAAATCAAGTAACTAATTAACAAAGATGATGTAAAATAGAAATTTTGGCCAGAGAAAAAAAGGAGAGAATTCTACGTTACAGGGCTTTTATCTTCCTGGGATTCGGCTCCACTGGTCTAGAAAACAGGATAATAACTCTCCAGATCAAGCTGCTCCAAGATTTTTTTTGTCTTCCAAAGATAGGATGAGTGGCCTTCCAAGTAGTCTGTTACATCAACCTGCAAATTAATGAAAACCGTACCCATTGGCTTTGAAAGTATGGTAAAACTAGAAAAGGAAATATACAATGGAAATCTTGACTTGCATTCTCAATCCCATGAATAATATCAACTGGTTGAATTCCAGCCAAGCCCTGGGAAAGTAAGCTGTAGAACAGGGATTTTAGTCAGAAGCCACAAGTAATTATTGATTTTGAATATTCAGAAGATAAAATGCTAGAAATATAATAATTAAGGAATGAATATTATGAAATATTTTCCATTGATTAAGGTTCAAGTAATGAGTAGATGTGTAAGCATTTTAACATTAACCAAAAGCATGCGCTGGTTTAAAAAATAAACCAAAGGCATACACTCGCTAAGGCCTTAGCGTCAACCATGTCACTAAATAGGCGAGAGAATGTTGCCTTATTAATGCATAGCTAATTAAGGACAAGGTTTCTGTTTCATATATTCAGAGTGTAATAATTCCCTCAAAGGGTTAAGGATTGCAAGATATGACTTAATTAAGAGAGTATATACAAGTCACCTGGCACGAAAAATAATTCCTAGTGTCCAATCATTTGTAGAGTAAACATTGACAAATCTGCCAGCCACCATCTGTAACCAATATACAGAACTTAGTAATACCAACAAATATCCTTTTTTTTTTTTTTAAAAGAAGTTGGAAAAAGTCCAAGATTTACACAAGAAATATAAGCCAGCAGAAACAGACCTTTCGGGCATCTTCCCAATTTTCATTTTTTATTGAAAACTGGTGCTCCAAGAAGAACAACTCTCTCAACAATTCCATCTGTAGAAATATAACATCAGAGCATAATAATCAAACAAACAGTCATCTTGCATTGATGATGATGAAGCAAAGAGTGATGAGTAATCTTATCATTATCGCCTTTTGTTTCTGCTGGACATTGGAGACATTTAAAAATTACTCGAGCTCCTAACGAGAAACCAATGAGCATCACAGGTCTGCAACGTGCACATATATTCTAGGGGATTACTTAGCATCGTGGTGCAGTAAGATCACACAATTCCATGAAAAGATGAGGCTGTTGTACCTGTTCCCGTGCATTCCTTTCAACAACACCTCTGCAAGCAACTTTCCCGCTTTATCA